GGAGGGTTTCAAAGTAGATTGGACAACCATTTGACTGGGATAGTGTAAGGTCTTCTGCTCAAGCAGGGGGTTGGACTAGAAGACCTCCGAGGTCCCTCCCAACCCTAGGATTCCAAGTTCTGTGTTCTAAACGGTTGATTTTAAAAAATAAATAAATAAAGAAAATGCTTGCTTCAAACTTGTTATGTTTTTAATCCTATGTTATATACATCTGGGATTAAACTCGACGCAAATATTCATTTATACGCCAATAAAGGAGAAAATTTGTAGCTCAGGGTTGACATGACGGGGTCCTTGGTGCTCTCTGAACTTGCTTCAGTGGTGGGTTGCCCCCGGTTCGGACCGGTTCGCAAGAACCGGTAGTAAAACCGGCGGGAGGCTCTGCCCACCGAATCAACGTCATCAGGTGTTGAGCCCGACATCAGCTTGACATATTTGTTGGAGGGAGAGGCATCCAAGGCCGACTAAAGAATCTACAGAAAAGCAGAAAAGCAAGATTCTGTGCATGCACAGAAGCACACATGATCCCATTGCGAACTGGTTGTAAAAGTAAGTAGAACCCATCCCCGACTTGTTTGTTTTCTTGAAGATGTTTTGTGACCCAACTAGGTAAGATCATCCATGCTAGAAGGGAGAGGGGTTTGTGGAGAAGAGGAGGAAGGGGGGAGGAAGAGATGGAAGAAGAGGAGGAAACGAGACTATGGGGTCTTTGGAGTTCTCTGAGCTTGGTGGTTTTCTTGCAGAGGTTTTGTGACCCAACTAGATAACATCATCAGTGCTAGAAGGGTTTGTGGAGAAGAGGAGGAAGGGGGGAGGAGGAGAAGGAAGAAGAGGAGGAGGAAAACTGTGGGGTCTTTGGAGTTCTCTGAGCTTGGGGGTAACCTCATCAGTGATAATAACAATGAAACATCTACAAGAAAACAAGCAAGCTCAGAGACTACCAAGGACCCCCTCATTCATTTGTATGTTTCTTTTTCCCCCTGGGGGAGCCCACAACAGCTTTCATTTAATTAAGGAAAAGGTTGAGACTTTCATTTGAACATTTGCAGAAGGCAGCCAATTTATTCATTTGGCTTTGTCTCTATTATTATGGCTAAACCCCCCCCCCCCCATGCATCCATGAGTTTTTGGAATCTGGGCCGGCTGCAGTGAATAAATAAAACATTCCTTGAAGATGATAAACGGCAAGATTCAGTCCGTGGGTTTAGAGCCAGTTGCGAATGGGCGTGAGGCCCAACTCGCGGGATAAGGAGCATATCTGGTTGTGTAGGAGGCTGGTGAGCAAACTGGATGTTAGAAAACGTGGACGTGTTTCCATTCTTGCGTCAGAATAAGATCAAAGGAATTCAGGAAGTCGCGCTGGAAGGAATCAATGTTATGATTGCAAGTGTGAAAAACGACTTTTTCCAGTGGCTGTTATAACTCCAAACGGTCACTAAACGAAGAGTGTTGTAAGTCCAGGACTATCTGAAGCCCCAGCCTGTTTCGAGAGCAGCAGGTGAGGTTGTAATTACACCACAATTTAATGAATAAAGAAAAGGCTGACATTCGAATGCAGATTTTTAATCTCATGAAATTCTGATTGGGGAATCTTGGTTATAGCAAGTTTCACATGCCAGGACTACCGAATGATGATGTGAGTGTTAATTATAACCTAGTTAACTAAAGGGATGGACAGGTAAATGTGTCACTTCTCCAAACACGTGGATAATCAAAGAATAATCGTGAAGAAATGCATGAATTAGAATCGTCATCGTGATAGTCATTGTCTATCTGGGATGAAGACCTCTTCTCCATGTTTCCAACTCAGACGGTCCAGGCTTTCCTTTGCCAACTGGGCCTGCCATACTTGTGGATGTTGTCGATCCATCTTGTTTTAGGTCTCTTTCGTGGATGCTTTTGATCAAGTGGGATCCATTCTATGACCGTCTTGGTCCACCTGCCTTCAGTTCCATTTCAATTCTTCTACTCTCTTCTACCTGCCTTCCATGGAGGACCTGTCTACTGCATGAGTCAAAAAGAGGGTTGTGAAAATATCTACAGACCAGGGTTCTACTTACCTTGACTACTGGTTCACAACTGGATCGCACATGCTTCTGTGTATGCGCAGATCGCCGATTTTTCTACTTGCATTTTTTTTTTACGTGCTTTTGAACTGTTAGGTTGGCAGAAGCTGGGACAAATAATGGGAGCTCACCCCGTTACGCGGCACTTAGGGATTCGAACCGCTGAACTGCCGACCTTTCAATTGACAACCTCGGTGTTTTAGCCACTAAGCCACCATGTCCTTATGCAGTCCATAAAAGGCAATAATTCCTCTTTTTTCAAGAAAATTCCATCCATGCCATCTTTACGACTGATATCCTTTTACTTAATTTCCTAGTACATTCAAGGACTTGAATTCAGAAATAAAGTGATATTTGCACCCCAATGTCTTTCCCCCCCAAAAAATTTACCCTGTTTTAATTTCTCTGATTCTCTTGGCCTATTTTAGCATCCCACAACCTCCAAAGAAGACCAGCCTGAGAAGTTGCAAAGGACCATAGAGTTGTAAGATGAACTAAGAATTGAAAAACCTCACCTAAATTACTATTTGAGTAGGTTTACTGCTACAGTCTTTAACAAAGCTTAATGGATGATCTCGAGCCGAGGGAAATTTAGTAATAGTATATTTAGACGACGTATGCAAAACTACACAGTAGCCTACAATTATAGAGGTTGGAATTTAAACCCTAAATAGTTATGCAAAGTGTTGCACACGGTGTAAGTTACACATCAGAGGTTCGATCCCACTATGCATAGTTTGAGATGGATCACATTTTAGAAGGGTGCCTTGTTGTTAACATTAAACATTTGAAGCTGCTGTCTGAGAAAACTGTAGCATGAATCATTTAATGAGAAGGATCAGATATAATTGCATTGTTTGGGGTGAGAAATTGTGACTTAATTGTGTTCCTTACACTGTTCCTTACACAGAAAGGTCTCTCAAAACCTTGCAAGAACATATGGAGAGAGAAAGGAAGATCTTTCTTACCCCTCCAGAGATTGCGACAAAGTTCCTAGTCCTCAAGGAACTACCCTGTTTCCCTGAAAATAAGACCCAAGCGGAAAATAAGCCCTAACATGAGTTTTTCAGGATATTGTAATATAAGCCCTACCCCAAAATAAGCCCCAGTTAAGACTGTCAGCCAGACAGATGAATTTAGTACCGTATTTCCTCCAAAATAAGACCTAACCAGAAAATAAGCCCTAATGCATCTTTTGGAGCAAAAATTAATATAAGGCCCAGTCTTATTTTCAGGGAAACCTGGTAGCATCCAAGGAAAATAGTAGAGGGTTTAATTCTCCACCACATAGAAATAGAATGGCTTTCATTGCATTTAAACCAAGGTACAAATTTTTTAAAAAATCAAACTGGAGAGTTTTATTGATATAGTTTTATTTTTAGTGACTGTTCTGGTATATGCCAAGACGGGAAGTATCAGCTACTAGAATATATATTCTGAATAACAGACAATATTTTGAGCCATGTTATAATTTTTGCAACCAGGAGAGGGCAGACATATCCTATGAATAAATGGGGCACCTTATAATTTTGAATAAGATTTTTGGTTTACTGTAAGTGTTCTTTCTATTGTTATTATCGATGATATTCCTTTATGGTTAAAAGAAAGGACCTTGTAGGACTTTATCTTCTCCCAGCTTTTGATGGGTGTGAAGTATTGTTTATAAGTCATGAATGCAATAGATAGATACTATTTTGTGGATCTATCCACATGCAGCTAAGTTCTAGTGCCCCCTGGTGGTCAAATGGTGCATGACACTAGACATAGTTACAGCATGGAAATGTGTTTTATTTTTAAATTGCTGGATCATATGAGTCACAGAGAGTGAGTGGGCGGACATATACATTCTCTTAAATAAATAAATAAAAATAAATAAGCAAAGAAAGAAAGGAAAGAAGGAAGGAAGGAAGGAAGGAAGGAAGGAAGGAAGGAAGGAAGGAAGGTAGTTCTTCTGGGAGAAGTCTAGACTTCAGTTTTTTTAATGTATACATTTTATTAATAGTTTTAAAAAGAACATAAAAACTAACACAAACTTTCCAAAGAATGGGAATAGACTTTGGAGTTTGGTAGGTTCTCAACTTTTCCTTGTTTGGAAAGATGTATATTATACCCGATAAGAAGAAAAAGAAGTTTTCCTTTTACAAAGAAGAAGAAGAAGAAGAAGAAGAAGAAGAAGAAGAAGAAGGAGGAGGAGGAGGAGGAGGAGGAGGAGGAGGAGGAGGAGGAGGAGGAGGAGGAGGAGGAGGAGGAGGAGGAGGAGAAGAAGAAGAAGAAGAAGAAGAAGAAGAAGAAGAAGAAGAAGAAGAAGAAGAAGAAGAAGAAGAAGAAGAAGAAGAAGAAGAAGAAGAAGAAATAAGGAACATTCAATTTTAGTTGTGGCTTTGGATCCATTGGGTGGATGGATGGGCAGGCGAACAGCCTTGCAGGAATGTTGCTGGGTTCTAGGAACAGACTTGGGGTTGGAGTAAACTCAATTTTGGAAGGGTTGGTAGCGAGAAGTGGGAGCGGGCTTATTCCTCTGTTGACCCGGAGAGCAGAACCAGTACTAGTGAGCCAAAACTACAAGGAGGAAAGTTCAGGCTAGACCTCAGAAGAAGCTTGTTGTCAACTTGCAAAGCATCCCTGGCCTGCTCTTGAGTTGCCATGGGCAAGGGGGATGGGAAACCAACGAAGCAGGATGGCAGCCAAAAATAGGAGCACATTCTGGACATACCTCTCTCAAGGCTGTCTCCCAGGGTTACCCACAGTGGCCAGAGAGGAGTGATCTCTACAACCCGCGAAATTGCTCTGTTGGAGAATATGATTGATGACACATCCTAAGGGGAGGGGGGGAACAGGGTCATGATTGGGGTGTAAATTACGTGGGGTCAGAGTTGGCTTCACCTGGAATGTGCCGAAATGAAGCTCCTAATAAATAACTGGATTTCTTTTGACTCGAGGTTCATGATTTAATTAGGGCATCCTTTGGAACCCTGACAGCTGTGACTTATGAGTTGTCAACCAGTACAACAGATTGCCACATGAAGTGGTGAGATGTCCCTCATTGGAGGTCTTCAAACAGGGAACGGGGAATGGTGGTCCATCAAATAGGTTGTTATAGCTTCTGTCCTGAACAGAGAGTTGGACTGTGGTTCCTTCTCCAATTCGGCCATTCAACATCCACCTGAAGTTCCTGCGCATGGCTCAAAGCACGCCCCTCTCCTCCTCCTACCATATCCTGAAGGTAAACATGCTGGTTCAGCACATACTCCTGTTCCGCATCCTCCAGAAGACGTTATGCAAGGCTCTGCACATACACCTCTCCCAGCAGGTCTACAACCTGGTTCAGCACATACTCCTCTTCTACTACCACATCCTCCAGAAGACGTTATGCAAGGCTCTGAGCATACGCCTCTCCCGGAAGGTCTACAACTTGGTTCGGCACACACTCCTCCGGATGTAGCACATGGTTGAGCACAAGCCACGGTCCCTCCTCCAGAGCCACAACATGACCCACAATCTGACCCCGTGTGAGAATAGCGTCCCCCGGTACACCCATCGCAGGCATCGCCGATTGGGCGCCCCCAATAATCACGGGGTCCCCCCGAAGGGTTGTGAACACAACATCTAACCCTTGGGTTTCCTCCTGGCGTACAAGTGGATTGGCGGTAGCAGTAGCACCGGTAATTATGGCCACCTCTTCGAGGTACGTTGCTCCTGGGGTTGCAACACGTCACGCAGGCGGTGTTATCGACATAGCGGAAGGGTTTACGGCGAGTATCTAACCAGGATCCTGCTGGGTCATACCATGTTGAGTTCAGGTTGAAGTAGGCTTCTCGTCCAGAAGAATAGATTCTTTCTTCTGGCATGGTGGGTGGAACTGAAAGTGTAGGACCAAAATACACTGAAATCAGAATCACCTCCCAAAATAGGATGGGTTGCGCTGGTATTCAGCAGGTTCTATCCGGTTCGGGCAAATCGGTAGTGGCAACTGCAGGAGGCCCCACCCACTTGCCTGGATGTCATCACGTCCCGTTTTTGACTATCTGCGCATGAATGGAAGTCCTTGCTCATGCACGGAGGTGGCACATGCGAACAAAGCATGCATTCGCATTCACATTTGCAAACCGGTAGCAAAGATAAATGAATACTACCCCTGGCCACAACAATGCTTGTCCTGAAACTTGTGAATGTGATTTTCGAATGGAAAATTACCACAGAACAAATTTCAATTATAATAGCCTAGGTCGGTCCAGCTACAGTAACAGAGAGGAAAATAATTGATATAATAAGTCCCCTGGTCCAGATATTTATTAAATACTCCAATATTCCAGAATAATACTGAAACATTTGGAGAATTGTTTGGTGAGCCATTACTATCAAGCGTGCATGTGTGTGTGTGTGTGTGTGTGTGTGTGTGTGTGTGTGTGCACACTTTTTACTCATGCATTCACATAAACCTTCAGCTGAGTTTTAATAAAATTGTGTAATCTTTAGACCCTTTTGAAATGTTGTGGGCAGTAGGCACTTAACCCCACATTTGGTGTGCGTGCCTAGCTTGCTTGCTTGTTCCATCTCTGATTTCCAACTTGTCCAAGAATGGCCTTCCTTATAAATTACATCATCCTTCTTCTGTAGCCGAACTCAATGGGTTGGGTCTTCCTATTCTCTAAAGCGAGAGAATACCACATTGTTCTCTCGGCTGTCATAACCTTCAGAGAGTTGAAAGGGTATTCCTTAAATTAAAAAAAAAAACTTTACCTAAAAAAAGAAAGAAAGGGGATTCCATATTTCTTTTCTTGTTCTGTGGTCTTTCTCCCCGACCTGTTTGTGGTCATCTATCAACTATAAGAAGACAGTTTAGTACCCTCCAAATATTTTGGACTACATGTTTATGGAGCGTCTCAGTCATCTAGGAGGCAACTGGACTTTCTGGTTTTTTCTTTGAAGATGTTTTGCTTCTCATCCCAGAAGCTTCCTCAGCTCTGAAGAAGCTTCTTGGATGAGGAGCAAAACATCTTCAAAAAAACCCCAGAAAGTTCAGTTGCCTCTTGAAAAAGCACCTTTGGGATTTTGGACTACAGTTCTCCCTATATTCCACTGGGTGTTGGTAATTATAAGGAAACATGTGTGTTGCTCCCAAAACATCTAGAGAACATCTAACCCTCTAGTCTAGACAATCTACTTTGATAAACAGATACAAGACGTAGAGACAGACTTACCTTATCAGGAGGTATATATTGAAGGAGACCCGTGAGCTAAGCAAATGTCAATGAATGAAGTACCTTCTGGAACAGAAGTTCTTTATATATGGTTTCGATACTCATATATAGATGATACAACATCTTGGGAATGGTAGGTAAGTCCAAAACCATGGACCTGAGAGATGGCAGGTTTGAACACCTGATCTATTACTTAACTATGGTTCAATGGATTGAGATTCATGCAATTAGCAGTCACAACTGGATCGGTGATGTAGAAGACAAGGCATTTTCCCTCTCAGAAGATACATGACAGAGTTCCAATGGGTCCATAAAAGGAAGACGATTGGATGACAGCTCTGAGGAATCAAGGAAGAAGCCATGATCAATCAACGCCCCCGTTAGGATCAATTGCATCAGTTCAATGCATCATTGCCAGGTTCTTCTGCAAAATAATTTATGGTACCCCATGGACAGTGACAAGAGGGTTATTAATTGCAATTGTACAGAATGCTAATGATCATCTATAAATCAGAGTTTACTCTCGTGTGGGTTGTTAAAAAAACAAGCCACTCCACAACATTAGTTAGCCTGCAAAAAACGAAGTCTGCCAGTGTAACCCAGCGAAGGAACCTCAGTTGTGATATTTAGAAAAGAATAACAGAGTTGGAAGGGACCTTGGAGGTCTTCTAGTCCAACCCTCTGCTTAGGCAGGAAATCCTCCACCACTTCAGACAAATGGTTATCCAATCTTTTCTTAAAAACTTCCAGTGTTGGAGCATTCACAACCTCTGGAGGCAAGTTGTTCCACTGATTAATTGTTCTCAGTGTCAGGAAATTTCTCCTTAGTTCTAAGTTGCTTCTCTCCCTGATGAGTTTCCACCCGTTGCTTCTTGTCCTGCCTTCAGGGGCTTTGGAGAATAGATTCGCTCCCTCTTCTTTGTGGAAGCCCCTGAGATATTGGAACACTGCCATCATGTCACCTCTAGTCCTTCTTTTCATCAGACTAGCCATGTCCAGTTCCTGCAACCGTTCTTCATATGTTTTAGCCTCCAGTCCTCTAATCCTCTTTGTTGCTCTTCTCTGCACTCCTTCTAGAGTCTCCACATCTTTTTTACAACGTGGTGACCAAAATTGGAGGTGGTATTCCAAGTGTGGCCTTATCAAGGCCTTATAAAGTGGTATTAACACTTCACATGATCTTGATTCTATCCCTCGGTTTATGCAGCCTAGAACTGTGTTGGCTTTTTTGGCAGCTGCAGCACACGGTTGGCTCCTATTTAAATGATTGTCCACGAGGGCTCCAAGCGGACAATCATTTAAATATGAACCAGCCGTGTGCTGCAGCTGCCAAAAAAGCCAACACGGTTCTAGGCTGCATTTGGATATCAAAGATACGATGTAGTGACTGAACAACAATCATGCAAGATGTAACCATGGGCAGAACTTCAAAGTAGAATTTTGCAATCATGTGAATGATACTCCTCCCAAGCTATCTGGAACTAAACTCAAGATTGGTCTCATCAGCCACGAGCTAAAATGCTGGTGGAGCCCCACACGTAGTTTCTAAGTTGACTCTTGGACAATATAAGATGATGATTTGTCTTCTGCTGGCTGGTGAGTCACTTGAAGGAGGACATACCAAGCACGTGGCAGAGCTGAGCTTTCAAGAAATTATCAACTGTATAAGGTGTAGCCTTCATACGCTACCGACTGGGTAATGAATGGCTAGGAAGTTCTTAAGAACATGATGGCATCAAAGCCATCTTCTACAAATGAAGTGTGCACTCATCTATTGCATGCCTGTAACCAGCTAGATGGAGAATATCCATGCTTTAGTGTATTGTCACCATGATATCAGGTCATCCATATTTATTTATTTATTTATTTATTTATTTATTTATTTATTTATTTATTTATTTATTTATTTATTTATTATTCAAATTTCTATACCGCCCTTCTCCTTTCGCACTCAGGGCAGTGAACAGCCAAAATAAAACATTTATACATAAAGTACGATTAAAAATAGATTTAAAATAATTAAATTTGGCCCATAGTTTAAAATTTATCAATTTAAAATCCATATCAAAATTTAAAATCAACCATAAAATCATAAAATCAAGAGAGACCGGCTAACTGAAAGAGATGAGTTTTTAGGGCCCGACGAAAAGTCCGGAGGTCGGAGATCACTCGTATCTCTGGGGGTAGATTGTTCCAAAGGGTAGGTGCCACTACAGAGAAGGCTTTCCTCCTGGGGGTCGCCAGCCGGCATTGTCTAGCCGACGGCACCCTGAGGAGGCCCTCTCTGTGGGAGCGAACTGGCCAGTGGGAGGCTATTGGTGGCAGAAGGCGGTCCCGTAAGTACCCTGGCCCTAAGCCATGGAGCGCTTTAAAGGTGATCACCAACACCTTGAAGCGCACCCGGAAGTCCACCGGAAGCCAATGCAGCTCGCGCAGGAGAGGAGTCACATGGGAGTGCCCCGTCGCTCCCATAATCCCCCGCGCAGCCACATTCTGCACCAGTATGAAGTCCCTTGGGCATGTCTCGTTTCCCCTTAGAAATGGGACCATTTTCCTCTGCTTCCAAGATTTTCAACTGAAGCCAGAATGATGCCATCAACACATAGGAAGGAGGAAATGGAAGTGTTAGGGGCAGGGATGGGATTCAGAAATTTTAGCAACCAGTTCTCTGCCTGGTTGCTGGGAGGGCGTGGCCATGGTGGGCATGGCCTACTCAGCCTTCTGTATGGGAGGGCATTTTCGCCCTCCCCATACTCCGGAGGCTTTCCTCGAGCCTCCGGGAGGCCAGAAACAAGCCCGTTTCTGAACTTCCGGAACTTCTGGTAGGCCTGTTTTTCACTCTCCCAGAGCCTCCGTGTGAGCCCTGCACTTACCTGGCATCCAAAATGGGCTGTGTGGAGACTCCTGAGAGGAGCGGGGCGGGGCGGGCAGGGTCAACCGGTTCGCTACCGGTTCAGCGAACCAGATTAAAATTAACATCCGGTTCGCTCAAAGCGGTCCGAACTGGCTGAATCCCACCTCTGGTTAGGAGGAATCTCAATATGACCAAGCTGGAGAGAAAAAAAAAGAAATTTTAGGAGGTCACCAGAGAAATGCAAAAGGAGGATTTATTTAGGGTGAAATATATGATCCACTGGTTCTGGTTTTGCTTTCTGGGTAGCAACTGAGACTGGATGTTGGTAGATGTGAGTAGATTGCATAACTGGGGGGGGGGTTCTCCAGTTGGCTTGTGAGCTGAGTGGTTGAGGGACTTTTTTTTTTCATCGTTGATTACCCATAACATCCGCTGAGCCTAATTTCTTAATCGGTTTTGCATGTAACTAAGTTACAACTAAAGAGGAGCTATTAACAACCTTCGGAGTGAAGGCGGGAGTATCCTTCATTCCTTAGTAAAAGAAGTTTTAAATACAAGTTTAAAGATTTAAGTTTTTTTTAAAAAAATAAAAGCAAAAGACTAATTAGCATGTGGATTTTGGAAAGTTACAAGTAGATTAAGGGGCCAGATGGGTTTGAAATAAGATTTTGAAATTCAGGGTAAGAATCCTTCCGTATGGGAAAATGTTCTTGTTTTGAATTCTTTAAAAAAAAAAACATGATAGGATGAGGCTTTCGAGGTTGGACACTAGAGGGAGCCAGAGGAAGCTAAAAATTATAATTAAAAGAGAAGAACATTTCAATTTGTCTGACTAATACAGAATGAACCTCTTCTTGTTTCATACAGACATGCATGCCATGACACACATGAAAAAGGAATGATAGCACAATGGACAAATTTTGTCACTTGTCCCACCTTGCCCCTTTCTCCCTCATCCTGTAAATTTATCTGGATTATCAAGTTCACACTTGTCTTTGTTCTATCTTCTATCCAAATCTCGTGAGGACAGTCCTGGAAAACTTCAGCCCAGCGATAGGTCAGGAAAAATAGATGTCTTTTGAGAAGAAGAAGAAGAAGAAAAAGAAGAAGAAGAAGAAGAAGAAGAAGAAGAAGAAGAAGAAGAAGAAGAAGAAGAAGAAGAAGAGGGGTGGAGGAAGAGGAGGAGGAGGAGAAGGAAGGATTCTGGGAGTGATGAATGCTTTAATAAGTTTTATTGTGTTACATACATATTTTTAACATATAAATTTGATAAATAGTCAAAATGTCCAGGGTAAGTAATTACAAGCATATCAGCTAGTAAATAAATAGCAAGACAACATTTTGAGCTAGATTGTGATGTTCATATTCAGCACAACTCATCAGCTACTTCTTCAGAAGATGGGGAGGCGCTTTGGAAGCTTGTTTGATCTGATAGATCTCAGGTTGTGGTGAACAGCACGATTGGGCTGGTGGACAATATTCTTGTTGAGGTGGATAGCACAGTTGGGCTGGTGGACAGCATGATTGGGCTGGTGGACAATCGTTTTGTTGAGGTGGATAGCATGGTTGAGCTGGTGGACAGCATGATTGGGCTGGTGGACAATATTTTTGTTGAGGTGGATAGCACGGTGGGGCTGGTGGACAATATTTTTGTTGAGGTGGATAGCACGATTGGGCTGGTGGACAATATTTTTGTTGAGGTGGACAGCATGATTGGGCTGGTGGACAATATTTTTGTTGAGGTGGATAGCACGGTGGGGCTGGTGGACAATATTTCTGTTGAGGTGGATAGCATGGTTGGGCTGGTGGACAATATTTTTGCTGAGGTGGATAGCATGATTGGGCTGGTGGACAATATTTCTGTTGAGGTAGATAGCACGGTTGGGCTGGTGGACAATATTTTTGTTGAGGTGGATAGCACCTCTGGACAGGCCGACAATACTTCTGTCCTGGAGGACGAGAACATGATTGGATAACTGAACGGCACTTCTGCACTGGAGGAGGACACCACTGGGCAGGCGGATGACTCTTCCGTCCAGGAGGAGAACAGTATTTGACAGGTGGACGGTACTTCTGTACTGATGGACAATACCGTTGGACAGGGGGACAGTAGTCTTGGACCGGAGGATAATATTTCTGTTGGGCTGGGCAGCCCTTTGGAGCTGGAGGACAATATTTTGGCTTTTGGGGGCAATACCTCTGCACAGGAGGGCAGAGTGAAGGTGGAGGCGTATCACAACATTCCATTTCAGAAGTCCATGTTACCAAGTAGCTAGATGGTTCCCAACTTAGAGATCTCCTATAACAACCGTAGGAATCTTTGCCATCTCCATATTCTGTGCTGTACATCTCTTGAGACCTTTGATTAGACCTGTGAAAAATATGTATGCTGGGAACACAAGGATGAAAGTATAAAAAACACAATAATTGATGAATGAAATTGCTGACGGACTAGAACTTTTTTGTCGTTCTTTTCCAGAGCATTTCCTGTGAAGAACGCATCTCAACTGTATTTGGGTTAGGTAGCTAAAGAGGCACTGAAATTATGGCTTGGTGATGCAACGCATTAAGCCTAACTGTGGAAAGAAAGAACGAAAAAAAGAACGAAAGAACGAAAGAACGAAAGAACGAAAGAACGAAAGAACGAAAGAACGAAAGAACGAAAGAACGAAAAGAACGAAAGAACGAAAGAACGAAAAAGAACGAAAGAACGAAAGAACGAAAGAATGAAAGAATGAAAAACGAAAGAACGAAAGAACGAAAAGAACGAAGGGAGGGAGAGAGGGAAGGAAGGAAGGAAAAAAAAGGAAGGAAGGGAGGGAGGGAGGGAGGGAAGCAAGCAGGGAGGAAGAGAAGGAAGGAAGGCAGGGAGGGAGGGAGGAAAGAAAGAAAGAAAGCAGGGAGGGAGAGAAGGAAGGAAGAAGAAAGAAAGAAAAGAATAAAGAAAGAAAAGAGAGAAGAAAGAAAGAAAGAAAGAAGAAGGAAGGAAGGAAGGAGGAGTGACATGAGGAAAGGAAGCGAAGAAAAAGAGATGGAAGGAGGGGAAGGGGGGAGGGAGGGAGGGAGGAAGGAAAGAAGGAAAGAAAAGAGAGATAGGCAAGGAAGGAGGGAGGGAAGGAAGGACATAGCAACATCCACAATTCAGGATCCCATTTCCCCCACGTGTTCCCCTTAACGTGTTTCAGCCATCCGTGGAGGTGTTCTCAATTTACCTGCCATTTTCACCGCTCACAAAACTGCGCAGTGATCAAAGACGTTATCAGGAGATATAATAGCTTCTGATTTGTCCATCATCCCTAGGTTAGCTTGGCCCCCCTAAGAACCATGAGATCATTTGACAAATCAATGGCCGTCCCAAAGGGATTGGACCTTGCCACTGATCCCTTCATGAGAAGTCCTATCTCAGGGGTCAGCAACCTGTGGCTCTGGAGCCGCATGTGGCTCTTTCACCCCTCTGCTGCGGCTCCCTGTCGCTCAAAATACGCATCACAACCGCCAATGTGCGACACCCACCGACACGCGATTTATTGAGCTTTTCAACCCCGGTAGGCCAGCCATGGATAAATCCAAGAAAAGAAAAGTTTCAGAAGAAAACAGAACATTTAATTCAACTATATATGCTAGTTTTGTGGCCACTCAAGAAGTAGTCAGGCACGGGGGAAGGGTTTTGTGGCTCCCGGTGTTTTCTTTTCTGTGGGAAACGGGTCCAAATGGCTCTTGGAATGTTTAAGGTTGAAGACCCCTGTCTATCTACTGAAAGCTTTCCTTCTCAGCCCAAACTCCATCTCATCGTAAGGTTGCAAGCCGATTGCAGCCACCAGGGATGTCTGCTTTACAGATCTATGCAGATCATTTACGACTTGTACGTTTCAACCAAGAGATGGAGACTTAATCATCGGTAACAATTTAAAAAAAAATAAAAATCAATCCCAAGATATCAGGTTGAAATATGACTTACCGAGTACTCCCACTCTTCGAATTCTTCAGTAGTTAAAGACAGCGAGGAGTGATGACAAGATGGTTTTATAATATTTGGCAAGGTCCCTTGTGACTGGCTGGCTCCATTTTTGGAAAAAAGGAGGAAAGAATACCCCATCGCCCAATTGTTAGTTATTGTCTCGATTTGTCATTTTCTCGTGCCAGGGCAGACCGAATGCTTCGCATAGACGAAGAAGTGATTAAGCTTACCAGCCATCTGCTGTCTGGCTTCCAATGGAGAAAAGCCAAGATAAATGATGTAAGAGAATAGCCCGAGTCTACCTTGGGCTGCCTGCAGGTAAGTTACAATTAAGGAGTACGACTGGGCATCCTTTAATTATCTACCTTGTGCTTTGATCATCTGACAGTGATAGTGGCTGGGTCATCTTAGGAAACATCCAAGATAAGTAAATTGGGCAGCCCCGCTGGGGGCAGGACAGATCATAAATTTGGAGAGGGTGTGTTTAATTGTCCATATGATATTTCTCCGGTAACCTACTTATCGGCTCTTATCACTCATGTAAATTAGGGAGTGACCCTAACAGTTTGAGATCATGTATTTTCACGATTAATGTCAGTATTATTTTTAATTTTTTTTTTAAAATTTGATTTATATGCCGCCCTTCTCCGGAGACTCAGGGCGGCTTACAATGCGTTAAGCAATAGCCTTCATACTTTTGTATATTTATACAAAGTCAGCTTATTGCCCCCACAAACCGGGTCCTCATTTCACCTACCTTAGAAAGGATGGAAGGCTGAGTCAACCTTGAGCCTTGGCGAGATTCGAACCAGCAGTAAATTGCAGGCAGCTGTGTTAATAACAGGGTGCTTTAAACCACTGTACTATCAAGGCTCTTTTATTTATTTATTTATTAGTCCAATTTATATGCCGCCCTTCTCCGTAGACTCAGGGCAGATTACAACGCATTATAGCAATAGCCTGCATACTTTTTTGTATATGCCTGCTTAGTAGGGCTTTCGCCCCCCCCTAAGCGGTGTTGTTCTATACAAAGCTGGCTTATTACCCCCACAATCCGGGTCCTCAATTTACCTACCTCGAAAGGATGGAAGGCTGAGTCAACCTTGAGCCTGGTGAGATTTGAACTCGTACTAATTGCAGGCAGCTGGCAGCTAAGTGCTAGCACTTAACAGCACTTAGTCTGCTGCACCACCGAGGCTCTTTTTTTTTTTTATTGTATGTCTATTGCTGGTCGATGACTGTAATAAAGTTTTTATTCTATTCTCCGGTAATCTAAATAGATGTTTTTCAATAGCTATCTATATATACCAGTGGAGGTATTCAAATTTTTTCCCCACCAGTTCTGTGGGCGTGGCTTGATGGGCGGGTCATGTGATCGAGGGGTGGCACCTTGCTGCGAGTGACATCTAGTTGGCCACGCCCACTCACTCACATGACCCACTCCCCCACCAAGCCACATCCACAGAACCTGGTAGGGAAAAAAATTGAATTAATACTATATTTTTCCTTAACATCACCCATTCCCCGAGGCCCTGGAACCACCTCTGAAAGATACCTACATACTACCTGGGTTTTTCATCCATGAAACTTCTTAAACTTGAATGGGTATGATGATTAAATGTTGGCTTAAGATCTAGAGAGCCAAATTTAAGTTCTACTCAGCTACTAGTTGACCTTGGATTAATAGCTATTTCTTAGCTTCACCTAATAGAGGGTAAAATAGAGATGAGATGGAAAGAATGAAGAATGGAGCCCTGATACGAGATTACTGGCACTATTACTGCTAATGATAAGATCAAGTCAGAAGCTTGTCTAAACTAGTGTTCTGTCCCACATTGACCAACCAGTAATTGATGGGAAGTCCATGAGGTCCATCATCTCCCACAACTGATCTTGGTCTTAAAGAATGGCTATCAAAAGCCTTATTCTCTATTAATTTGCCTAAAATTCTTTGAAAGCTATCTAACATGGTGGTGAGATGGTCCAAGGCACCTTGGAGGTGGAGCTTGTAGATATGACCTCAGGCACTGTGATCCAGCTTTATGTCATGTGTCTTTAGTCTAATTATTGGGTAATTTGTCTCATAAACATCAGGGTCTATCTTGGTAGAACCCCAAAATCACGTATCCCTCTTCTGAATGTGAAGACTGCTTAACACTCCTTAGCAAAGAGATGCTTTTCTTAGTCTGCCTGTCTTTAGCAGTGCCCAGGGATGCGTGGTGGATAGGTGGCTAAGACGCTGAGGTTGTCGATTGAAAGGTCGGCAGTTCAGCGGTTCGAATCCCTAGTGCCACGTAATGGGGTGAGCTCCCGTTACTTGTCCCAGCTTCTGCCAACCTAGCAGTTCGAAAGCACGTAAAAAATGCAAGTAGAAAAATAGGCACCACCTTTGGTGGGAAGGTAACAGCATTCCGTGCGCCTTTGGCGTTGAGTCATGCCGGCCACATAACCACGGAGACGTCTTCGGACAGCTCTGGCTCCTCGGCTTTGAAACGGAGATGAGCACCGCCCCCTAGAGTCAGGAACGACTAGCACATATATGTGAGGGGAACCTTTAACTTTACCTTAGGGATATATGCACAGTCTAATTCAAACCCTATTTCCCCCCCCTGAAATTTGCAAGTCTATGCACCACTGCAATTTTTCATATTTAAGTTAAAAGACAAAAGAAGTACTTTGATGTAAACGCAACGCAAATTGGACTTCTCACAATTTTTTTCCTACAGAGTTTTCATTATCCTTTCCACGCTTAAAGAGCAAGGAGGGGAAAAATTTAGATGAAAATATTTTATTCAGCCTTCCTTGTTCAACAGACCTTCCGTTCTCTCAGAATTAGCCCGTTTCTCTCTGCTTCTCCTCCTCCTCTTCTTTGAAAAGATCTTGATTTAATGTTCGGGGATATATCTTGCATCAGGAAGCTCCACAAGTCAGTTTCTGGATTTATTTCTCATGGATATCCTAGATATTATTCCAATTTGTAAAAATGTCAACAGAGAGGGGAAAAAAAATTCTCCGGGAAAACTATATGAGTTTATTTTGCTGATTGCAGATCAGGATATAAAAAATAATAGGAAGAAACCAACAGAATGCTGGAAACCTTATATAGATGTGGCTTGCAAATCTCCGGAAATGAGGTGGCTTTTTAAAGAATGTTGATAGACCAAATGAAGCTCATATTTGCCTCCTGGGTTACTCTAGGTAGGTACCACATGGTGCCCTGTAGGCAGCCATTTGCAAATGAGAAGTAAGGAATTAGCTACCACTGCTGACAGACAGCCACAGGGAGTGAGAGAGCTGGTTGAATCATAATAATTATGCTGGATAATTAATTGCAAGAATTAATGTGAAAAAAGATTCCCACACTTACCCAATTGCTTGAAATGGAATCATTGTGGAGGTACCAACATTTCCCCCCCTGAAACATCTGAGCATGGCCCACTCTCCCCAAATGTTTGCTCAGAACAATAGGCCCACGGTTCATGGAGTGGGTTGTGAGGATGGCCTTGGGAGGCAGGAGGAAGAGCTGCATCTAGACCGATGGTCAGATCAGAGATATCTCAGAAGGAAAAAAGGGAGTGGGGAATGTGTCTCAGGAGTGACCCTCTCTAATTCTTTGGGGAATAAAGGCAAGGGACGGCAGAAATGTTTTTGGACTTGCAAGATTTTGTTACTGGTGGTTTTGGTTTCCTGTCTGGATTATAAGGGAGGGAGGGAGGGAAAGAGGAAAAAGAAGGGAAGGAAAAAGAGAAAGGAAGGATGGAAGGATAGAGAGAAGGAAGGGAGGAAAAGGAAGAGAAGGGAAAAGAGAAAGGAAGGATGGAAGGATAGAGAGAAAGAAGGAAAGAAGGAAGGAAGGAAGGAAGGAAAAGGAAGAGAAGGGAAAGAGAAAGGAAGGCTGGAAGGATGGAGAGAAGGAAGGAAGGAAAGAAGGAAGGAAGGAAAGAAGGAAGGAAGGAAGGGGAAAGGAATGGAATGGAAAGGAAGGGAAAGGGAGGAAACAAAAATTATTGTATATTTAATTGAGGAAATTGATGAGATTTGTAAATCATAGCAGTATCTCTTGACAGCTCAACTGGATCAATCTAGGTGCCAAAAATGATAATTGTAAGCTGCCCAGAATCACACTGTTCAGCTGGGCAGCTATAGAAATCGAAGAAATCCAGAAATATTTTTATTTTATTTATTTTATTTTGTCGAGTACATATTAGATAATATATATAAGTATAAGCATGAATTGAATACATAAAATGAATACAATGAAAGGGAACATTAGGACGGAAGGCACGATGGTGCTCTTATGCACGCCCCTTACAGACCTCTTAGGAATGGGGTGAGGTCAACAGTAGACAGCCTAAGGTTAAAGTTTTGGGGGTTTGGGGAAGAAACTACAGAGTCAGGTAGTGCATTCCAGGCATTGACCACTCTGTTATTGAAGTCGTATTTTCTGCAATCGAGTTTGGAACAGAAGGATGGAAGGATAGAGAGAAGGAAGGGAGGAAAAGGAAGAGAAGGGAAAAGAGAAAGGAAGGATGGAAGGCTAGAGAGAAGGAAAGAAGGAAGGAAAGAAGGAAAAGGAAGAGAAGGAAAGGGAAAAGAGAAAGGAAGGATGGAAGGATAGAACGAAGGAAGGAAAGAAGGAAGGAAGGGGAAAGGGAAGGGAAGAGAAGGGAAGAGAAAGAGAGGGAGGGAGGAAGGAAAAGGAAGGGAAGGAAAAAGAGAAAGGAAGAATGGAAGGATAGAGAGAAGGAAGGAAGGAAAGGGAGGAAGGAAGGGAGGAAGGAAGGGATTTTTTTCTTTGCAACTGCCATTTATTATTGTATATTTAATTGAGGAAATTGATGAGATTTGTAAGTCATAGCAGTATCTCTTGACAGCCCAACTGGATCAATCTAGGTGCCAAAAATGATAATTGTAAACTGCCTAGAATCACTTGGTTCAGCTGGGCAGCTATAGAAATCGAAGAAATCCGGAAATAAAGAAACAATGGCTCCCTTGGTTGTATTGCGTCATAAAGAAAATTCCTGAAACGTTGTGATCCCGATGTTTGCATTCCAATATCCTCCAAAAAATGTTCTTCGAGGTTCTGTCTTCCAGCACTAAGACTGGATTTTCTGGATTTTTATTTGCAGAGTAGCTGTCATCATTCCAGCTTCGGCTGCTGCAGATGTGTTAAAAAAAAAAATTAAAAATATGAGGATCTCAAAATCACATCAATGATTTCCAGCCCGAAGACAATAAACAGGCCGAACGTTTCTTGATTGGCAAAGAAGGAATTCTCCATTCTCCATTAATGTCTCATTTCCTGGGCTAGAATTACCCAGAACCGTATAAAACAACCTTCCTTAGCCCTGAGTTCTCCATCCATCCAACCGATTTGACTTGTCTTCATTTGCTCTTCTGTCTGTGATCAGGGTAAGTTGGAGTCTTGATATCTCCAGGTTGGCGTTTAGAAGCAATGGAGTTGATATTAGAAGGTGTGGGTAGTTCAAATAATTAACTGTAATAATTTGATCAGAAAAGCTCCATGCTGCTTCTGATCTACTAGTGAACCTGCTAAAATTTATTAGATCGTTCCAGAGGCCCCAAGCTTTGTAATGGAACTAATACGATCATTGCCATTAAAGTCGTCTAGTGGAATACTGACGGATCTGAGTTGCGCACTCGGAAAAAATTGTAAGTCGTAGAGATCAAATCTGCTATATTTTCCTCTTGTGAGGTTTAGTCCTATTTGGCTATAAAAAAATGAAATGGTGTTCACACGCCTTGCATCTCACAAGATCTTCACTGCCAGGAATTTATGGTTATATATTTATAAGGATACTCCGATGCAAACTTACTGCTTTGTGTTTATCCACGTTACGACAAAAATTAGAAAACGTCTTGATTATTCTCAGTAGCATCTATGTGGATTTGTCTCCCATGGATGAAAGACTATGTTAATTGAAGATTCCTCTTCTTTTAACGACCTCCACCATTTGCGGGGTGGAGTCTGGGCAACTGAATGAAGCTGAGCATTTACTGGCCGGATGCCTTTCATGTCGCCAATGCGGAGTTTTGTTCAGCAGATACATTCTCAGTGTGCCCAGAGAGAGA